GAGATCATGACCTGAGCCGAAGGCAGCGGCTTAACCCACTGAGCCACCCAGGCGCCCCTGTTCTTTGCTTCTTTAATGTGTAACAGGTGTACCGCGAAGGGCACGGTTCAGCGAATCCTCCCGGACTGCAGCCTTCGTACTCCCCACCCACCCCCGAGTCACAGGAGGGGCCCAGGCCCCCAGACCCCCCTCGCTCCTTCCTGTCACTGCCCCCCACAGGGTAACCACCATCCTGATTTTTATTTTTATTTTTATTTTTTAAGATTTTATCTATTTATTTGACAGAGATCACAAGCAGGCAGAGAAGCAGGCAGAGAGGAAGGGAAGCAGGCTCCCCGCTGAGCAGAGAGCCCGATGCGGGGCTCCATCCCAGGACCCTGAGATCATGACCTGAGCCGAAGGCAGAGGCTTTAACCCACTGAGCCACCCAGGCGCCCTCCATCCTGATTTTTAGTAGCACAGGTTCATTTTGCCTCGTTTTGAATTTTGTGTAGATGGAAGCACACGGTATAGACGTCTGTGGCTGCTGTCACTCAGCGTGTTTGTTATTTCGATCCTGTTGGTGGGTGTAGCTGTGGATGGCTTGTTCTCATTTCCGTATAGTACTCAATAGCTGGAGAACACCACTGCAGTTTTAGTAACTTTTTTTTAAAGATTTTATTTATTTATTTATATGAGAGAGAGAGAGAGAGAGAGAAGGAGCAGGGGGGAGGGGCAGAAGGAGAGGGAGAAGCAGACCCCCCACTGAGCAGGGAACCCTATAAGGGTCTCAATCCCAGGACCTGGGGATCATGATCTGAGCCCAAGGCAGAGGCTTAACTAACTGAGCCACACAGATGCCCCAGTTTTATTAACTTTTTGAATGAGTATTATATGTATATGGTACAAAATTTAAAAGGCACAAAAGGGTTTACACCCCCTCTCCCTGCTTGCTCCCACCCCCTCCCGCTTCCTCCATAGGTAGCCACTGTTGGCAGTTTCTCACCTGGTCCTCCGGGGTCGCTGAGCCCCCATGAACAGTTTGTCCGCCTCTTCCACCAAGTACATTGTATATGTACCGTTCTCCTCCTCCCCCCCGTCCCCCACTTTCTTTCAAATAACAATAGATCTTGGAGATCGACTGGCACTGGGTAAAGTTCTATCTGATTCCTTTAAATGGGGTGCCTGGGTGGCTCAGTTGGTTAGGCGACTGCCTTCAGCTCGGGTCATGATCCTGGAGTACTGGGATCGGGTCCCGCATCGGGCTCCCGGCTCCACGGGGAGTCTGCTTCTCCCTCTGACCTCCTCGCTCATGCTCTCTCTCACTGTCTCTCTCTCTCTCTCTCTCTCTCTCTCAAATAAATAAATAAATAAATAAAACTTAAAAAAAAAAAAAAAAAAAGAAATGATTCCTTTAAATGGAGCATAACCCTGCCTTTCCTGGACATGGAACAGTTTTTTAACACAGTGTCTCTTGGGAACTTTGTGAGCCTTCCCAGCCCCATTTGTTTTCCTGTCGTGAGTTATGCCTTCCTGAGAATGGTGCACGTGAACCTGGCCACGGATGACTGGCATTTCATGCTTGAGCCCATCTCCTAACCACAAACACAACACTCATTTTTTTTTTTTTAAAGTTGGTGTGTAGCCCAGTGTGGGGCTTGAGCTCACAACCCTAAGATAAAGACCTGAGCTGAGATCAGTAGTCAGGTGCTTAACCAACTGAGGCCAGTTGCCCCACATTTTTTTCAAGATAAAATTGACATAACATGAAATTCACCATCTCAACCATATAAAGCATACAGTTCAGTGGGTTTTGGCATCTTGACAGCTTTCAGCTATCAACGGCCGCTAGTCGAGAACATTTTCATCGCCCCAAGAAACCCCATCACCATTCAACAGCCTCTCCTTATTCCCCTGCTCCCCAAGCTGCCCCTGGCAACCTCTGATCCACTTTCTGTCTCTATAGATTTGTCCCTTCTGGACCTTTCACGTAAACTGGATCATACACTATGACCCTTGTGTCTGGTTTCTCTCACCAAGCACACGCTCATGGTTCCTACGTGTTGTCCCGTGTGTCAGCCTTTTCTGTTCCATCAGTGGATACACCATATGATGTATGTCCGCTCATAAACTGATGGACGTTTGGGTTGTCTCCGTGTGGGAACAGAGTAGTTGGAAATTCTTTACCACAAAGAGGAAATACAAGGCAGTATGTGGGCGTGTTCAAAGTAGAAGTATGTATGCAGAAAAAAATCATTCACTCAAAATACATATTGAGCCTTGTGCTTTGTCACGGAAGAGAGGTAAAGATAGTGGCTTTTTTTTAAATTTTAAGATTTTATTTATTTATTTGACAGAGAGAGACACAGCAAGAGAGGGAACACAAGCAGGGGGAGTGGGAGAGAGAGAAGCAGGCTTCCCGCCGAGCAGGGAGCCCGATGCGGGGCTTGATCCCAGGACTCTGGGATCATGACCTGAGCTGGAGGCAGCCTCTTAACGGCTGAGCCCCCCAGGCGCCTCAAGATAGTGGCTTTTTTACCTCGAGGGTTGAAATAGGAGAGTTGAGAAAGAGTGTAGGCTGTAGGCAGCCAGCTGCTGGGTCAAATTTTTCTCCATCGTTAGCCGTGTGTGACATGTGAACTATTTCTTTAACCTGTCTGAGCCTGTTCGCCCATCTGTAACACCGGGAGAGGTAACAGACCCTTCCTTCTAAGGTAGTTGAGTGGTGAGGATTCAGCGATGCCCAGCCCACAAAGAGCTCAGCCAGTCATGATAGATAAGAGTCATGGCCTCTAAAAGATGTCCACATCCTGATCCCTAGAACCTGGGCAGAGAGGACGCTATGGACATGATGAAGTTAAGGATCTTGAGATAGTGAGATTAGCTTGGGTTATTTGGAGGAGGAGGAGGAAGAGGAGACCCAGCGTCCTCACAGGGGTCCTTATAAGGGAAAGAGGGAGGCAGGAGAACCAGAGAAGGAGACATGAAGAGGGAAACAGAGGCTGGAGTGATGCCCTTGCTGGCTTTGGAGGCGGAGGAGGGGATCACAAGATGAGGAATGCATGTGGCTTCTAGAAGCTGGAAATAAGGCGCAGAAACAGATTCTCCCCTAGAACCTCCAGAAGGAATGCAGCCCCATTGACGCCTGGATTGAAGCCCTGTGAGACCAAATTTCAGGCTTCTGACCTCCAGATCTGTAAGAGGTACTGTTTTTAGCCAGTGAGCTTGTGGTCATCTGTTCCAGCAGCAGTAGGAGACAAGGACACCAGGGCCCCGGCACACAGTGAGAATCTGAAAGTGTTGGTCATGATGATTCCTTTGTGACAAATGCGGACCTTAAGGAAACTACCTCACCAAAGCCACTTGGTCAGGAAGAGTAGAGCCCAATTTACAACTCAGGGGGCATTTGTTCCTTCAGCAAATGGTTGCCAGGTTTTTTCCATCTCTCTGGTTTCCATCTGTCCATCAAGAACATATGAAAGGCTTTCTGTGGGAACAGTGTCAGCTGATACTTATGGAGCATTTGGTCTGTGGCAGGCACTATTCAAGGGGCTTCACACGTAGCCGTCATTTGAATCTTCACAATGACTCTCGCTGTTAGAAGTTGTCACTGTGCCCATTTTACAGGTTAGGAAACTGAGGCACAAGGGGTAAGGTGAAACTCTTTGCTCTAGGATTACACAGACCATACACTGTTCAGTGTTCAGGACACAGTGGGAAATGACTTAGATATTGTCTTTGCCCTCATGGAGCTTAAAAGTCTGGTGGGGGAAACAGATGCTAGACAAATGCAAACAAAAAGCATTGTTACATAATATTAAGTGGTGATAACTGAAGAAAAAGAAAAGTGGTTTAGGCAGGGGGAATGGCAAGTGCAAAGGCCCTGTGGTAGAAAGGAGCCATTCTGTTCTTGGGATGGAAGGAAGGCCAGCACGGCTGGAGGAGAGCCATCGAGTGTGGCAGGAGGCTGAGTAGTCAGACTAGGACCTGTGTATATAGACAGCACCGCACACCGTCCCAGGGTTCAGAGCTGTGAAGGCAGGGGGAGCCCGTTCCCTCAGCACCGCCTCTTTCCCCAGCGTACCTGTGATGTGGCAGAGGATTGCATGTGGACCCCAACCAGCCTTCCTGAGCTCCAGGCCCCGCTCTGCCACTCACCAGCTGTGTGACCGTGGGGAAGCCACATAACCGCTTCCTGTCTCCGGTCGCTTGTGTGTTAAGTGGCGGTAATAATAGCCCCCGCCTGGCAGAGCGGTTGGGAGGAGAGGAGATGCACGGATTACGTGTCTGCTGCAACTTGAGCGCCTCAGTGTTTGCTGCAAGTGCTCCTGCAGTGTTATTTTTGTGAGTCATCTCAGGTCATCTCAGGAGGAGGGTTATTATGACAGCCCGCCTGTTCCACACAAAAGGAAACCATCGCTCAGAGAGGTTGCGTGGCCCCCAGGCTTGCACAGCTTGGAAATGGCAGGGTTGGATTTGAACCCAGGCTCGCCTCCCCCGAAGTCCAGGCTCCTTCCTCCCTTGTAGGGATGTTCCTGTTTGTGGCGGCGGGTAGGCAAAGTCTGGGCGACCTCTCGATGGCAGGTGATAGGGCCATCTGGAGCGTCGGATGCTCCTGGGGCTGTGGACTAGGTGCCTTTGAGAGCTATGATGGCTTGTGATTCTAGAAGCCAAAGAGAAGAGCCTGAAACTGGAGAGTAGATTGGGTCAGCCGTTCCTAACTGCCTTCCACCCTCACATGGCTTTCTGTGCCTTTAACTGTCAAGACAGGAATGGCAGAGCCTTGGTGGGGAGCCTTCCTCCACATAGATTACTCTTTTCTTCCTTCAGAAAGTAATTACAGTGGGGCGCATGGGTGGCTCAGTGGGTTAAATCATCTGCCTTCGGCTCAGGTCATGATCCCAGGGTCCTGGGATCGAGCCCCGCATTGGGCTCTCTACTCAGCGGGGAGCCTGCCTCCACCTCTCTCTCTGCCTGCCTCTCTGCCTACTTGTGATCTCTGTCAAATAAATAAATAAAATCTTAAAAAAAAAAAGTAATTACAGGGCACTGAGTGGCTCAGGGGGTTAAGCTTATGCCTTCAGCCAGGTCATGATCCCAGTGTCCTGGGTTCGAGCCCCGCATCAGGCTCCCTGCTTGGCAGGGAGTCTGTTTCTCTCTCTGCCTGCTGCTCCCCATGCTTGTGCACTCTCTCTCTCTCTCGTTCTATCTCAAATAAGTAAAATCTTAAAAAAAAAAAAAAAAAGTAATTATGGAGGATTGACTGACAGTGCCTCCTGACCGGCCGGGCACGGTGCCTCCTACATGCGGTGCAGTGTGGCCTGGTATTCGCGCGTGTACTCCTGGAGTTGGGGATTTTCCCCATTTTACAGATGAGGATACCGAGGCTCCAAGAGATTGGCTGAAATGGCCATTTCGGCAGTGTATGGCAGAGCTGGGATTCAAACCCAGGAATCCTTGGTGAGCAAAACTACACCAGGCCCGTACCCTGAGGGAGCTTCCTCAGAGTCCTATGTGACCAGGGGGACGGGACAGATGTGCCATTTGTATGCATGGTTATTTGAATGAAGTCGGAAGTCTGGCAGGTGGTGTCAAGGAGAGCTCTAAGGTGCGGGTTCCACACAGATCTGGCAGAGTCTGGAGGCGTTGGGGAGGCAAGCATGGGGGCTTATGCATTCATCCAGAGAAAATTTTCTGAGCTCCTACTCTGGGCCATGCCCTGTGCTACATGCGAGGGACATGGTGACACCCCTCACCCTGGCACCCACAGTCACTGAGCTGACATTACAAGGAGATGTGGCGGCCCAGATGGGGGGTCATCCCTCTCCCGAGGTTCCACAGTGAGGCCAGGGGCAGCGCAAGCACTGACAGTGGCTCTCCCCCTCCCGCAGTTGGAGAAGGAGGAACAGATACACAGCGTGGACATCGGCAATGACGGCTCGGCCTTCGTGGAGGTGCTGGTGGGGAGCTCAGCCGGAGGCACTGGGGAGCAAGACTACGAGGTAAGCAGGGCTTTAAGATGGGCCCCGTGCTGATCCCTGCCCCAGGTGCCCCATCACCCCCTTCCCCCTGGGGTAGGTGCCTGGCTGGTGTAGAGATGAGTCACACTGCCCTCTGCCCTCTAGAGGAGGAGGCACAGGTGAAAAACTGCACACCAGGGTAGAGACCCACATTTGCATCGGGGGCGGGGGCATAACTAGACATACTTGTCTGGTCTAAGGGACACCGCTGCTTGAGAGCAAAACCGCTTTTCTCTGGTCCCCGAGGTTCTCACAGATGTCCTGGCAAGTTGAGATTCCGCATTGATTGGGATGCCTCTGTTAGTCACTTCATATGGGACAAATGTTTACAAGAAGGGATGCTTTTTGCTCTATTACAGATATTTTTATTTTTTAAAGTTTTTATATATTTGAGAGAGAGAGAAATCAAGTGTGGAGCGGGGGAGGACAGAGTCTGGAGAGGGAGAAGCAAACTTCCCGCTGAGCAGGGAGCCTGGCATGGGCTCGATCCCAGGACCCCGGATCATGACCTGAGTTGAAGGCAGATGCTGAACTGACTGAGCCACCCAGATGCCTTTATTTTATTTTATTTATTTGGGAGAAAGAATGTGTCAGTGTGAAGAGCTGGGGGCAGAGGGAGAGGTAAAGAATCTCCAGCAGACTCCCCGCTTAGCTTGGAGCCCGACATGGGGCTCTGGCCCAGGACCCTGAAACTATGACCCAAGCCAGAATCAGAAGTCGCCACTTAACTGCCTGAACCATCCAGGTGCCCTGCTCTGTTACAAATATTTTAAAAGTTGGTATGATCTTTTCCCTACTGGTTGAATTCATTAGAGCTGTGTTGGTGAGACCATAGCTAGCCAGCTGTTAATCCACAAAATGTCTTGGGGTAGAAATAAACCTACTTGAAAAGCAAGTTTACAATTTAAGTAAACAGTAAACCAGTTTTCTACGAGATGAGTTTTTTCCTTGCAGTGAGAAATTGTTTTTAGTTGAAGTATATTTTGCGTACAATAAAATGTGCAGATCTTAGTGTACAGGTCAAGGAGTTCTGACAACTGTATGCACCAGTGTAACCGGCCCCCAAGTTAAGACACGGAGCATTACTAGCATCCTGGGGAGGTCACTCGCACCCCTTTGCAGTCACGCCCCATCCCCCCACCTTTGCCAGCTCAGGCAGCCTCTGGTCTCTTCTGTCACTACAGACTAGTTTTGTCGGTGGTAGAATTTCATATAAATGGAATTTGCTCTTTTTTTATGGCTGGCTTTTTTCACCATATCCTGATTTTCGAGATTCTTCCATATTGCTGAGACCACAGTTTGTTTCTCCATTCTCTTGTGGGTGGGCACAAGCTGCTGTGAACATTTTTGTACAAGCCTCTGCATGGAGATCTCTTCTGGGTGAATATCTACGAGTGCAATTACGTTCTCCTAGGGTAAATGGATGTCTTAACCTTACTGGACTTGACAGTTTCCAAAGTGGTTGTACCATTTTACGTTCCCCTCAGTGGAAACTGAGAGTTCTAGTTGTTCCGTATCCTTACCTGTCCGTGATGTTGCCAATCGTTAATTTCTTAAATTTCAGCCATTCAGATCGCACATGGTGGTATTTTATCATGGCTTTAAGTTGCATTCTCCTGACAAGTAATGACATCGTGTAACCTTTCATGTACTTAGTAGCCTATCTTACTTTATGAAGTGTCTATTCAGGTCTTTTGCTTGTTTTTTATTGTTTTGTTTGTTTGTTTGTTTGTTTTGTCCTGGATGTTAATCATGGGCTTGTTTATTTTTTTCTTTCTTTCTTTTTTTTTTTTTTTTCAGATACATGTGTTGCAGATTTTTCCCCCAGTCTGTGACTTGCCTTTTCATTATCTTTAAAAATTTTTTAATTAAAGCATAATTACCATACAGTGTTATAGTAGTTTAAAGTGTGCAATGTAATGATTCAACACTCTTGTGCCTCACTCAGTGCTCATTGTGGTCTGTGTACTGACCTTTCCATTATCTTAACAGTGCCTTTTTTTTTTTTTTTTAAGATTTTATTTATTTATCTGACAGAGAGAGATCACAAGCTGGCAGAGAGGCAGGCAGAGAGAGAGAGAGGAGGAAGCAGGCTCCCTGCTGAGCAGAGAGCCCGACGTGGGGCTCGATCCCAGGACCCTGAGGTCATGACCTGAGCCGAAGGCAGCGGCTTAACCCACTGAGCCACCTAGGCGCTCCTTAACAGTGCCTTTTGATTGAGCTGATGAAGTCCAATCAAGGTGCTTTTCTTTTTTTTAAGTTTCTTTTTCTCTTTCTTCCTTCCTCCCTCCCTTCTTCTCTCCCTCTTTCTATGTTTCTCCTCTTTTCTTTTCTTTCTTACTGCTAAGTGCCTTTTGGGTTCTGTAAGGAATATTTGTCTGTCCCAAAGTCATGATACTCTCTGTATTAATTTCTTTTTTTTTTTTTTAAGATTTTTATTTATTTATTTGTCAGAAAGAGAGAGAGAGAGCGAGCGCAGGCAGACAGAGTGGCAGGCAGAGGCAGAGGGAGAAGCAGGCTCCCCACAGAACAAGGAGCCCGATGTGGGACTCGATCCCAGGACGCTGGGATCATGACCTGAGCCGAAGGCAGCTGCTCAACCAACTAAGCCACCCAGGCTCCCTCTGTATTAATTTCTTACTGCTGCTCTAACAAATGACACAAACTGAGTGGCTTAAAGCTGTAACACAAACTTACTTTCTTACAGTTCTGTTTCAGTGGGCTAAAATCTTAGTGTTGGCAGGGCTGGGTTTCTTCTGGAGGTCCTAGGGGAGGATCCATTTCCTTACCTACCGCAACTTCTAGAGGCTGCCTGCATTTCTTGGCCTGTGGCCCCCTCCGTCTTCAAAGGCACTGATGACAATACTCTAACATCTGCTTCCGTCCTCACTTCTCTGGCTCTCCTGTGTCGCTCTTCCTTATAAAGACCCTTGTGATGACACTGGGCCCACCTGGATAACCCAGGCTTATCTCCCCACCTCAAGATACTTAATCACAGGGGTGCCTGGGTGGCTCAGTGGGTTAAAGCCTCTGCCTTCTGCTCAGGTCATGATCCCAGGGTCCTGGGATTGAGCCCCACGTCGGGCTCTCTGCTCAGCGGGGAGCCGCTTCTTCCTCTCTCTCTGCCTGCCTCTCTGCCTACTTGTGATCTCTGTCAAATAAATAAATAAATAATCTTAAAAAAAAAATACTTAATCACATCTGCCAAGTCCCTTTTGCTATGTTCACAGGTACTAGGGAGTAGCACATGGACCTCTGTGGGGTGCCATGATTCTTCCTACTGTCATCTTCTGTGTTTTCTTCTAGAAGCTTTATAATTTTAGATTTTTTATCTTAATTTTATAATTATATCTAAAATTTTATAATTTTAGATTTTACATCTCTGGTCCATTTCAAATGAATTTTTGGATATTGTGTGAAGTAGAGGACAAGGTCCTTTTTTTTTTTTTTTTTTAAATGTTTGTTGAAAATACTCTTAAAAAAAAAGATTTTCCTGGGGCGCCGGGGTGGCTCAGTGGGTTAAAGCCTCTGCCTTCGTCTCGGGTCATGGTCCCAGGGTCCTGGGATCAAGCCCCACGTCGGGCTCTCTGCTCAGTGGGGAGCCTGCTTCCTCCTCTCTCTCTGCCTGCCTCTCTGCCTACTTGTGATCTCTGTCTGTCAAATAAATAAATAAAATATTAAAAAAAAAAAAGATTTTCCTGGGGTGCCTGGCTGGCTGAGTCGGTAGAGCATGCAACTCTTGATCTCAGGGTTGTAGATTTGAGCCCCACATTGGGTACAGAGATTACTTAAAAAATAAAATCTTTAAAAAATGATTATCCTTTTTCCACTGAACCGTTTTGGTTCTTCTATTGCAAAGTGATGGACATATATGTGTAGGTTGATTTCTGTACTCTCTGTTCTGTTTCATTGATATGTACGTTTATCTTTGTGCCAATACCACACTGTCCTAATAGTAAATACTGAAATCAGATTGTGTTGGGCTTCCATCTTGGTCTTCAGTAGTCTCTTGACTATTCTAGCTCCTTAGCATTTATTTCCATGTAAATCATAAAACCAGTTTGTCAATAACTTTATTTATTCCAGACTTACAGAAAAGTAGTACAAAGGATTCCCTGATAATCTTCACTCAGATTCCCCAGATGTTAACACATGGGTACATATTTTTCAGTGAACTGATAGTAAGTTGCAAACATGATTCCACATTATCCCTGTACACTACAGCGGATATTTCCTAAAAAGAGAGACATTCTCTTACTTACTTAATAAATAAATAAGAAGAACCAGAAGCCTTCTTTTTAATATCACATTGGCCAACTGGGTCATGTGCCCAACCCCGACCAGCCACTGGCAGAGAGAATTGCACTGCTTGGACCAGGCATGGCTTATCCTTCAGTATTGGGCACATAGGCCTTCCACTCTTTTTCAGAGCTGCCTTGTCCGTTTAATTCTCCTTGTCCCCTCATCATACTGTCAGGATCTCCATTTATTTCTTTAAACTATTAAATGTACTTTTGTATTGTGTTTGATAATTTAAATGGATGCAGCCTTTGTGAGTCCGAGTCTGCAGTTTGTGGTTTCTGCTGCTTGTTTCCATATGCCTTACAGTGTGTGTGTGTGTGTGTGTGTGTGTGTGTGTGTGTGTGCGCGCGCGTGTGTGTGTACGTGTGTGTGTGTACGTGTGTACGTGTGTACCTCTGATCTTTGGGAATGTGTCTGTGGGGAATGTCTGAGGACCTGGTATGAAGTACATTCCTCCAAAGAGGATCTGCCACCGCGTGGGTGATCTTGTGTACACAGGTCTGCTGGAGGAAAGATGTTAGGGTTTGAAGCCGATGGCCAAGCCAAGAAAGAATTCTAGAGACGTCTTTGGTGCAAAAAGCTGGTTTTATTAAAGCACGGGGACAGGACCCAGGGGACAGAAAGAGCTGCACTGGGGTCATGAGGAATGGCCCATTATATACTTTCAAGTTGGAAAGGGCTTAGGGATAGTGTAAACCTCCCAGGTATTTTGGAAACAAGGTTTCCAGGATCCTGAGGGGGCTAGCTATTGTTAAGAAAAAGGTCATTTATTTTAGTAAAAACTCAGTCCTGTGACTCTTCAGATATATATCAGTGAGTCATAAGCTTGGCGGATGACTACCAACATATATCTCGGGGGACAGAGATAAAGGATGTTTCCAAAGGAGTTATTATTTGTTAAAGTACACTTAGAGAGGGGCACCTGGGTGGCTCAATGGGTTAAAGCCTCTGCCTTCAGCTCAGGTCATGATCTCGGGGTCCTGGGATTGAGCCCTGCATCGGGCTCTCTGCTCAGCGGGGAGCCTGCTTCCCTTCCTCTCTCTCTGCCTGCCTCTCTGCCTACTTGTGATCTCTCTCTCTGTCAAATAAATAAATAAATAATCTTTTTAAAAGTACACTTAGAGGATCCTGGGGGTCAGGCTGAGATGGCCTTTTGTCCTTAACAAAGTATTAGCATTGAGGCAGCTGAGTTCCTAGAGGAATGTCACTCTTCCTGTCTCAAGGACTTGTCAGCGGGCTGGCTGTAGGTGGTAAGGAAATTTAAGAATTTTTTTTTTTTGCCTTTGTTTCGCACATCAGGACCACTTAAAGTCTTCAGCTTGGGTTTTTCCGTGCAGATAGCTCATATGAATTTTTTGCTCCAAATCCTTGAGAGTACAGACTTGTGCTTAGGATTCTTCCAGATCTCTGTTGTTCTCCAGAGCAAAGGCCTCCCACCGACTCACTCCACAAGGCATTTTCCCCTAATTTACTCACGGAGAGTGTTGCCCTTTGAGGAGGCTCAGCTCTGTTGGAGTTGGGTGATGGTCCATGAGTAGCTACTGTTCTTCCTCAACCAGAGCCCAGGCTTTATCTTCTGTTCCCAACCACCCCCAGCCCCCGCCATCCATTAAAATTACATTCTCTGGTACCCAGAGTCAGCACCCAGGCAAACACTAACCTCAGTGCCACCTGCCCTGTGGGTCAGGGTCCTGCCAAGAAACTGAAACCACACCAGTTATCGTAACAGAGAATTTAACATAACGAATTAGCAACTATATATTGAACCCAGGAGGCAAGAAGACTCAGGTGCCGTGTAGAAGTAATGCGGGGAGCAGCTGCCACCCCTTGGGTGGGGGGAGCAAAAGGACATGGTTGGAATTCCTGAAACCTCAACGTTTAGAAGCTCGGAAGTGGGGTTCCACAGAGCTGAAACGCAGACCCGCTGGAATCCCTGAGAGGGTCCGGATGATACCAGCTCCACAGATGTTAAAATGCTGAAACCAGATCCCCCTGCGGCCCTGGGGAGGGCTGCTGCCAAAGCGGAAGCGTACCAGGGGTGATGCTTTCAGGGGCGGCCAGAAGCCAGAGCACAGAAGCACATCTCTCCTCCCTCCTTTCGCTTCTCGACCTCTCTGTGGCTCCCCCTACTGGCAGGGCCCTCCAGAAGGAGCGGCTGGACAGGAGCCATGTTTCTGCCCAGCGTCCCAGTGCTGAGCCCCAGGAGAACCACTTAGAGCTGGTGCAGCTCTCCTGGCCCCCTGGATTCCGTTCTCCCGGGCCTGGTCTCCCTCGTACTTGCTCTGCTTTCCGTGAACTCAGCCGTGCGTTTCCAAAAGGTGTTTGAGCATTGTACCAGCCATTATGATTATTCTCTGCTGGGAAGGTCCGTGGAGTGGGCTCTGTGGCCAGTGAGAGAAGAGCCTGTGGAAGAACTGGGCTGTGGTTCATGGAGACCTGGACGTAGAGGGATCCCCGGGGCCTGTGTCAGGGGGGAACTGACCGGCAGCCCAGAAGCAAGGGAGAAGAGAGGTTTTGAGGCATGTGGAGGCGCAGGCCAGATCTGGCGACTCTCTGGACCCTGCCCAGGCCCCTGCTTTCTTCCCAGCCCCTGGGAGGCGTCATTGATGTCAGCCAGTCCTGGTTCTCCTTCGGTGTTCCTTCCCCAGGTCCTGCTGGTCACCTCGTCTTTCATGTCCCCTTCTGAGAGCCGCAGTGGCTCAAACCCCAACCGTGTTCGCATTTTCGGGCCGGACAAGTTGGTCCGGGCAGCAGCGGAGAAGCGCTGGGACCGCGTCAAAATCGTTTGCAGCCAGCCTTACAGCAAGGTACCTGGGGCGGGAGCTGGGGGCGCAGGGTCCTCGGTCCGGGGCCAGCATGGAGTCCCAGAGGGCTGGGAGGACGGGGCAGCCGGTCTCCCCTGGGGATCAGGAGGAGGCTGGTTCCCAGAGGTCACTGAAGCGGGTTTGTGATCTTTCCCACAGGTGATTCCCTAGAGGATATCTGGGAAGGGTGCATGCAGGCTCTCAGGGGAATGGGAGAAGGGGGCAGCTGACTTGGCAGAGGAGCAGTCTGACAGTTACCATCATGGGATCTGGAGTCAGACGCCTGGGTCCACCACTTCTTAGCTGTGTGACCTTGGGCAAGTGACTTAACCTTTCTGGCCTCAGTTTCCTGCTCCTCGTAGGGTTGCCGTGAGGTAGGGATGCTAAGCTGTGGTAATAGCAAGACTCGAGTATGTCATGATACCACACTGTGGAAGTAGACTTCTTCTCGGGGTCCTGTCTTGGGGGCTGTTTGGCCAGTCATCCGGGGACCTGGGCTCTGCGTCCAGCCGGAAGACTGGAAAAGAGCCTGGAGAGCATTTCTGTGTCCCAGACGTGGCACTCAGTGCTCCCTCCCCTTCTGTGGTTAGGAATTCGGGCGTGCAAGAGAGGATTCGCTCAGACCATCAGCAGCCTCTGCTGCTGGCCACGTGGCTGACGGAGCTGGTGCACGTAGGGCTTACAGCCAAGCCCGGCCCAGAGTTAGGGCTCACTAGCAGCTTGATGTTATTATCGTCCTCATTGTCCCCTGGGCACCTCCCTAGACATGTTTGTCCACAAGAGGCAAAGAGCCATAAAGGGTCTCTCCAAGTGAAAGGGGTTTGGGGCCAGGCCTCTGTCTTTGGCCAGACTTCCTAACACCCGCCCTTTGTTCCCAGGACTCCCCCTATGGCCTGAGTTTTATACGGTTTCACAGCCCCCCAGACAAAGAGGAGGCAGAGGCCTCACCCCAGGTAAGCTCTGCTCACCACCCCCCAGCGCCTTCTCCCTACTGCTTCACCCCTGCCTGCCAACAGCCCCTCACTGTGCTGACCTTGTGAGACCTTAGAAGGTGACCAAGCTTGGCCAGTTCCGCGTGAAGGAGGAGGATGAGGGTGCCAACTCCCTGAGACCCGGTGCCCTCTTCTTCAGCCGGATCAATAAGACGCCCCCAGGTGGGTGTGGAAGCTTGAGTCCTCAGTGAGCCCAGTGTTGGAACCTGGGCGTGGGTCTGAGGGAGAAGGAGCCTAGGGACTCCTGAATCAGAGGGAGGAGGTGGCTGGGGGCCTGGACTCCTGTATCACTACTGGGCTTTGGGAACAACACTCTGTCCCCTGGGTAAAAGTGGAAGGGTCTCAGGGCCCAGCCCTCTCACCCCAGCTCCATGTTCTCCCTCGGTAGCCACAGCCAGTGACCCGGCAGGACCCAGCTACGCAGCTGCCACCCTGCAGGCCTCTAGTGCCGCCTCTTCGGCCTCTCCCGTCTCCAGGGCAGTAGGCGGCACCTCCAAGGTGAGACTGTTAGACCCTTGTGGGGTGGAGAGGGCAGAGAGAGGCTAGAGGCTCAGGTCATCCCAACCTCTCAGCCTCAGGAGTCCCCCAAAGGGAAGAGAAAGTTGGATTTGAACCAAGAAGAAAGGAAGACACCCAGCAAACCATCAGCCCAGCCCTCACCACCTGCTGTCAAGAGACCCAAATGTGAGCACTGGCTTCCTTGTTCTCAAAGGGGCCTGTGCTCTTCTGTCCTCGGAGAGGAGGGGTTGGGGGCCTGGACCCTCGGGTCTGAGGGAGGAGGGGCCGGAGGGCCTGACTTCTGGGTCTCAGGGAGGAGGGGCTGAGGCTAGGACCCCTGGGTCTGAGCGAGGAGGGGGCTGGGGGCAGGACCCCTGGGTCTGGGGGAGGAGGGACTGGGCTTAGTCCCAGCAGTACTAACTGAATCCACTCTTTGGCCTCCCCAGTGCCAGCTCCCACCCGCACCCCGGCCACCACCCCACTCCTTGCCCCAGCACGAGGCACCGTGCCAGGAAAGTCCCGAGAAGGCACCGAGCCCAGAGGACCCCGAGCTGGCCCGCAGGAGCTGGGGAAGATACTTCAGGGTGTGGTGGTGGTGCTGAGTGGCTTCCAGAACCCCTTCCGCTCGGAGCTCCGGGACAAGGCTCTAGAGCTGGGGGCCAAGTATCGGCCGGACTGGACTCCAGACAGCACCCACCTTATGTAGGCCTGTGCCCTCCTCCCCACCTTGCCCCCCGCCGCTTCCCCATCTCCTTCTGACTCCTCCGTCTTCATTTCTCTTTCTCCCTGTCTACTCATCTGGCTGTCTCTTCAGTTCTCTGTTTCCTCTGCCTCTTTTTCTGATTCCTACATCTTTCCCTTGGTCTCCTAATGTCTTTTTCTGTTTCTCTCTGATCTGTCTCTTTCTCTGTCTCTGACTTCTCCTTCTTCCCCTGTCCTGTCTCTCTCTCCCTTTCCCTGCTCAGACCACACCTGACTGACCACACCCTCCCCTCTGCTTCCCCACCAGCTGCGCCTTTGCCAACACCCCCAAGTACAGCCAGGTCCTAGGCCTCGGAGGCCGCATCGTGCGGAAAGAGTGGGTGCTGGACTGTCACCGGATGCGGCGGCGACTGCCTTCCCGAAGGTGAGGTCTCTGTTGCGGCCGACTGCACTGACCGACGGCTTCAGTGGGGTCCGTCCAGAGCTGGAGGCCAGGGCATCCTGAGTGATTAGTAAATGCCAGTCGCTGTGGCTTGCTGAGCACCTGCCCCCCGCCCCATCTCCCCTGGAAGACACCATATGCTCTTTGTCTGAGCCCATATTCCTGCCCTAGGTACCTCATGGCAGGGCCAAGCTCCAGCAGCGAGGACGAAGGGGGCTCTCACAGCAGCAGCAGCGGGGATGAAGCCCCCAAGCTTCCCCAGAAGGTCCTATGCCTCCTGCCCTGATGTGGGGGAGGGTGCAGTGCAGGGGGCCCTGGGTCCGCCGTGGCACCCCAGACTCTGCAGCCCTGGCTTCTGCAAGAACACACTCTCACACGCAGGCTGCTCCCTCCCTCCGCAGCGCCCCCAGACCAAAACCAAGCCCCCTCAGGCAGCAGGACCCAGCTCACCTCAGAGACCCAAAACCCCAGAAGAGACCAAACCAGCCTCACCAGGACCCCAGGAAGACACCGACACTGATGGGGAGCAGTCAGGTCAGAGACTGAGGGGCCTAGGTCTGAGGGAGGAGGGGCTGGCGTCTCAGGTCTTCGGTCCTGGACTCCGGGGTCTGAGGGAAGAGAGGGCTGGGATCCTTGGGTCTGAGGGAGGAGGAGGGTCTGGGGGCCTGGACTCCCAGGTCTGAGGGAGGAGAAGGCTGGAAACCCAGATTCCTGCATCTAAGTGGGGTGGGGGTCCCAGATAACTGCACCTGGAGGGCAGGTGAGGTCGGCGGTTAGCACGCCTGTGTCGGTGCTTGGGCCGGAGACTGGAAGGGAGGGTTACCAAGCACGTGGCTTTGCATTGACTAAGCTCCCACTCACAGAAGAACAGGGCAATGGGGCAGAAGATTCTGGGGATACTGAGGATGAGCTGAGAAGGTAAGGTGGGGCTCGGGGTTTGAGGTGGCCCCAGGCTTGGGTGGAGGGGGATCTGGTCTGAATGCTCTTCCCCCACCCCCGTGGGCTCTCCCAGAGTAGCCGAGCAGAGGGAGCAAAAGCAGCCCCCTGACCAGGGGGAGAATGGCGAGGACCCGTATGCAGGATCCACAGATGAGAACACAGACAATGAGGGTCCCCCAGAGTCTCCCGAACTGCCAGTTCCCGAGCTCCCAGGTAGGAACTCCCTCCGTGCCTCCTGAAGTGGGATTTTTCTTTCTCAATTCTCAGCTGTGACCCCCCCAGCCAGCCCTCAGATCACAGCTGCTCCCCATGACTTATGACTTGTCTCCCCACCTCCTTCCCCTGTACTCCCTGCCTCTGCTTACTTCTTGTTGCCTTGGGAAACAGGCATCCATCCTCCCATGCCTTCCCTCTCTGCTCCCCCTCCTGACTTTCTGCTGTGACCACATCCATCACAGCCCAGTGCTGGGCATGTCCCCCTTTGGCTTTCCACTCCAGTACGAACGGCACCTCCCTCACCTGCCCTGCAGGCTTGGTTTCTTCAGAGTGGGAGGTCACCCAGGTGCACTGATGGCGTGGGCACTGATCTCTGTGGCCACCTAGGTGGTGATGGCATTGCTGTTTGTCACCCCAACATGAAGGCAGGGGGTGTGGGATGGGGGCAGGGGTCAGAGCCTTGGCCAGCAGAGCATAGAGGGAGAAGCTGGGCAGCCAGGGTCTGAGCAGAGGGGAGGGTGAGTGGTGATTGGAAGAGGCCGTGTCCATCCGACTCCTTGTGGGTGATGGGCAGGAAAGCACTTTGATCCTCCAAAGCTCTAAAAATGGCATTGAAACTTCATGGTTTGGAGAACCATGTTAAAATGGAACAAAGAAAAGAGCCGTCCTGAAGGTCAGAGCCTGAGAAGTTACTGGAAAACACCCCGCTCCCGGAAAAAGGTTCTGATGGGCCTGGCTGTGAAGCACCGTTTGTCCTGGACCTCTCTGCCAGGATTGCGTGAACACCCCTCCCCAGCATCAGCCTCCTTCTGTCTTGCTCCGAGTGTTTTGCGGCTCCTGCCTGGGGCTTCAAAACGCGGGGGGCCTCACACTCGGCTCCTCCACCCTCTCCCCTGCAGACTTCTTCCAGGGCAAACACTTCTTTCTGTATGGAGAGTTCCCTGGGGATGAGCGGCGGAAGCTCAGCCGCTATGTCACAGCCTTTAACGGGTCAGTGTGCAGGGGTGGGGGCAGGTGTAGGGAGGGGTGGTGCTATCTTGTGGGAGGAAAAGCTAGCGGGAGCCAGAGAAGGGGCACACCATGCAGGGTGGGCACGAGTAGCTTTCCCTCTCATTCTCATCTCTAAAACGAGACTCCTCCCGGCCCCCCTTCTAAACGAAGTGGCAGTGGTGGGAGCCCTTGGCATTGTGGCTGTGGCAAGGCTGGCACAGGGGAGCACCATTGGGGCCTGCTGCAGGTACCTTGGAGAATGGTTGGGGACACTGATTCTCCGCTTCTCTCCGTGTCCTGCCAGGGAGCTTGAGGACTACATGAGCGACCGGGTCCAGTTTGTGATCACAGCACAGGAGTGGGACCCCAGTTTTGAGGAGGTAGGTTCCAGAGGGGCAGGGAAAGGGACACCCAACCTGCCCTGTGTCACCTCCCTCCTCTCCTCACTCACATGTTCCCATATGCGCCCTGCTTCACCTTGCAGGCCCTGATGGACAACCCCTCCTTGGTGTTTGTCCGCCCCCGGTGGATCTACAGTTGCAACGAGAAGCAGAAGTTGCTTCCACACCAGCTGTATGGGGTGGTGCCCCAGGCCTGAAATATGTGCTTGCATGTGTGCGCGCGCGCACACACACACACACACACACGAGCTTAATAAAGGTGACCTGGTTTGCTGCAGCTGCTCCTCTTACTCGGAAGTCTCCTGAACCTCCTCGAGGCTTCCAGCTTTCCGTCCTCTGTTTGGTTTGTGCTTCCCTTCTGAGGGTCAGATATCTTGGCTGCCCTGAGACCTCTGTCCTGGGAAGAATTGGGAGCTCTCTCTCAGGGGTTTGGTAGGAAAGGAGCTCTGTTACTTCTCCCTGGTCGCTTACCGTGGTGCCAGGTGGCAGGGAACTGGGGTTCTAGCCCTCTGAACCCATTCCTGTCTTGTTTGTCCCTCTGTGGGTCCCAGGCTGGAGGCCTGGATCTTGGGAGGTGGGCTTCTCTCCTGAAGTCTGGCTCAGCTTCCCTGGGCCAGGGATATCTCCCTTTCTCCAGGGCTTTCACAAAAGTGGCTGTAGAACCATCAGCCTCCACCGCAGCTAAGTTGGAAACTGAATGGGGTGGTAGAGAATCAGGCAGAAGCTAGGACGGAGTTCTAGGCCAGGGCTGTGGCGCGGGCAGAGGCCGGGAGGTGGGAACTAGCCTGGCTCCCCAGGGTCAGTTGTTTAAGAGGGTTTAGGGCAAGATCTGTCTGGAAGGATGGACATAGTCCTTGGAGCTGTGTTTTCTGACACCGTAGCCCCTGGACCCGGGTAGCTATCTGATGTAGGGCTCGATCCCAGGACTCTGGGATCATGACCTGAGCTGAAGGCAGAGGTTTTAACCCACTGAGCCACCCAGGTGCCCCCCGGGTAGCTATCTGAATGAACTCCAGTGACATGAAGGGAACGTTTACTCTGTCGGTCGCACTGGCCGCATTTCAAGTGCGCAGTGGCTGCTGTAATAGGCGCGCAGATAAAGAACATTCATGTCACTGTAGAAGCAAAAGGACAGGGCTGTCCTGAAAGGCTGCGAGCGCCAGGTTGAGAAGCTTGGACGTTATCCCACAGCTGGGGAGGTCAGGAAGGGGTTGGAGCAGAGCAAAGGGCAGTCAGAGCTCAGTAACAAGTTACACAGACTTTATGTCTTAGACCTACAGAAATTTATCACCTTCCAGTTCTGGTGGTCTGAAGTCCAAAATGGACAAAAACTCAGGGTGTAAGCAGGGCTGTGCTCTTTCTGGAGGCTCTGGGGGAAATATACTTTCTTGTCTTTTCCCCAATTCCCCTTCTGTACTCAAAGCCAGCAGTGGCAAGTGGAGTCTTCCTCATGCCACGTCGCTCTGATGCTGACTCTTCTGTCCCTTCCTTCCACCTTCAAAGGTCCTTGTGTTTACGATGAGCCCACCTGGATAATCGGGGATAATCTCCCTGTTTTAAAGTGAGCCAATTAGCAACTTTGATTGCTTCCATCCTAATTCTCCTTTGCCACAAAGCAGATTCTTCGGTTCCAGGGGTCAGCATGGGGACATCTTTGGGAGGCTGTTACTTTGCCTCCTGCACCTACTGTGTGTGAGATCCATGGAACTGCGCTGTGAAAACCAGACACTAGGGGCACCTGGGTGGCTCAGTGGGTTAAGCCTCTGTCTTTGGCTCAGGTCATGATCTCAGGGTCATGGGATCAAGTCCCACATTGGGCTCTGTGCCCGGTGGGGAGCCTGCTTCCTCCTTTCTCTCTCTCTCTGCCTACTTGTGATCTCTGTCAAATAAATAAATGAAATCTTAAAAAACAGACATGAGGCCCCACTCTCAGGGGGCTGACACTGCTGGGGGAGAGACTGAGAGTGTGTTGTGCAGCATTGAGCACGAACACAGGGTAGTGTTACAGAGCAACGGGACAGGGTAGTGTGGTTCAGAGAGGGTTGGCAGGGAAGGTGTGTCAGAGGACCGACCCCTCTGCTGGGACTTGGGAGAAGTGAGGGAAAGTCTGGCAGAACCATTCCCAGCAGAGGAAAAAGCAGGTGCAAACGCCTCCAGGCAGGAACTGGCTTGACTTGTACAAGCCAGTTTGGGAGGTCAGGGTGTCGGAGACCCAGGATCCCCCCTGGCTCAGCCCTGGCCCGCTGTGTGGATGCAGGCAAAACCCATCTCTCCTGGCCCGTTTCCCCATCTGTACCATGGCGGTTAGACAAGATCGACACCTCTCAAAATGCATTTGTGTCCCTGAAACATTGATGGTGGTGTGGTTGTTGTGGAGGAAATCTTCCAGGACAGCTGTGTGCGTAAATATTGATAGAAACTGACTTCCAGTGTGAAGGGACTTAACCCTCCCCCTCGCACGACCTTTCCCCAAGGCCTTGCCCAGTTGCCTGGGTCTAGCTAGCAGCTGGTCTAGCAGCCTGCTAATTTGCATTTGCCTGCTCAGTGCCACCCCTGATGCTGGATACTTCCACAGACCATCTCATTCCATCCATTCATTTCAGATCTCAGATCTCAGCTAAAACTTGACCTCCTCGAAAAGGATTTTTCTAACCCTCTATATAATATTATATCTGTTGTCATAGTTATAACTTGGTTTATGGTTAAATATACCACTCTCTTCCTCTGTGATGGTCATTTCTTTCTTTCTTTCTTTCTTTTTTCTTTTATTTGACAGAGAGAGAGAAAGCCCAAGTAGGCAGAGAGGCAGGCAGAGAGAGAGGGGGATGTAGGCTCTGTGCCGAGCAGCGAGCCTGATGTGGGGCTTGATCCTAGGACCTTGAGATCATGACCTGAGCTGAAGAGCAGAGGCTTACTTAACCCACTGAGCCACCCAGGCGCCCCTGATGGTCATTTCTTGTGTCTCAAAGATTCCTTCTGTACCTCTGAGGTTACGAAGGTAGTCTCCTTTATTACTTACAGCCATTTTATTTTTCAAGTTTAAAGATCTTAAATCACCAGAAACTTATTTTTGTGTATGGTATGAGGTTGGGATCTGTACGTTTCCTATTGCTGCCATAACAAATTATCCCAAGCTTCGTACCCTTAAACAAAACAAATATATTAGCTTATCGTTCTGTGGGTCAGTAGTCCAACTTCTGCCCCAGTGGGCTAAAATCATGGTGTCTGCAATGCCGTGTCCCCTCTGGGGAGGATCCATTTCCTTATCTATTCCAGTCTCTAGAGGCTGCCTGAGTCCCTTGAATCATGGCCCTGAATCCCTCCGGTGTCTGCTTCCATCGGCACATCGCCTCTGACTCTTCCCTCTTTCTCATATAAGGATCCTCGTGATCACATTGGACCCCCTGGAATAATCAGGATAATCCCCCCATCTCAAGAGAAGATCCTTAATCACGAATCTACAAAGTCCCTTCTGCCACATGTAGACTAACATACTCAGGTTCTGGGGAGTAGGACATGGACCTCTTTGGGAGTCCATTATTCTGCCTCTACAGGATTGCACTTAATTTTACTTCCAGATCTCTCAGCTCGTTCACAGATGAGCCTGTCCTTGCCCCATTCACCTACAGCAGAGATCTGCAAACTACATCCCATAGGCAGTTTCCAGCTCACCTACAATTCTGGTAAAGTTTCACTGGACCAGAGCCACACTCATTCGTGTACCATAATGTGTGTGGCTTTTCTTTTACTCCAGGGGCGGAGCTGGGTGGCTGTGGCAGGCACTGTGGCCTGCAAAACCTAAACATATATACTATCGGGCCCTTTCCAGAAGAAGTGTGCCAACCTCCGATCTACTTGTGAGGATAGTCACTTGTCAGGACCTCCTGTGAGCACAAGGCCATTTTGGAGCCTTCAGGACCTCCTGTGAGCACAAAGCCAGTTTGGAGCCTTCAGTTCTCTTCCACTCGTCTGTTCCCATGCCAACACCGCAGATGTCTTTCCTATGACTCTGAAGTCATTCTTGGTACCTGGGCTGGGGAGCAAGGCTCCCTCCCCTACTTTGTTTTTCAAGATGGAGTTGACTTCTTTGCTTTTTTTTTTTTTGGCCCCCAGTTGACTGGCGCCCACTCCCCCTCGCTAGACCAGGCCTGTCTTGTTCACTGTTGCGTGCCTGCCACCCTGCGCAGGGCCCAGCATGCTACAGGGGCTTAATACACACCTGAAAAATGAAGTGCAGTCCATTGTTAGCTCATTCCTATTTTATAGCAGGAGAAACAGGCTCCAGGAAGGGAAGTGACTGCAAGAGATGATGCTTGCGCCCTTACAGAGGCCTCCTAGCACTCCCATGACTCTCTGCTATGTTATAGATAAGGCATCTGAGTCCAGAGAAGTGACAAAGCTTGTCCAGGGTCCCTTGGCTCATAAGCAGTGGGTCTAGGCTGGCTCCAAAGCTTGAGTTTTAAAAATTTTTACACTGTTGGCAGTATGCCCTTTGTTCTTGCTTTTATCATTTTGTATATTTAGGGACTCGTTCCCCAACTGGACAAAGAGAGCTTTATTTCCTACGGCAACATAATCTGTTCTCTGGCTGTATTGTGTTTCGTTAGCTGGTCCCCTCTTGGTGGGCACTTGGGTGGTTTCCCAACATCCTTATGCCTTTTTCAGTGCTTGAGTTTATTTATAGGGTAAGTTCCTAGAAGTGGAATAGTTGACACGAGTATGTGAGCGTTTTAAATTTTTTATGGACAAATGTCCAAAATGGAGGCACCGATTTAACTTACAATAAGGAGAGACCCCATTTCCCCACATTCCTCAGCAACCAACGATGCTAGCAGACTTCTTACTTTCGCCTTATAAATGGAGGGAAGAACCAGAGTCAGGGCTTGCTTTCAAACCACAGCTCCAAGCCTGTGGTTTGGGGCCCAGCGCTAAGTCTCTGTGGATGACACCTTCCCCTCCCCCCAAACAGGTGAGCAAATTGTTCCTAAGCCTTCTGGGCTGGAACCCAGTGTGGAGTCAGTCTTCCTGACAGCTGTCTGCTCAAGGCAAGTCCTTACAGCCCAGCTTAAAAATGCCACCTCTTCACTGACCCCAGCTGGTGGCAGAGAGGGCCATGAGCCGAGGGGAGGACTCACTCGCGCTCCCCCTGGCTCTCAGCCTGGTGGTGGCTGCGCTGGTGAAGGAGCAGGAGGCGTCTTTGGCCAAAGGCCTGGTCGCAGCTGGAGCAGTGATGCCGGGCTGTGGCCTGGCTGCCCGGTGCTGTCGGGGGATCGTGACAGAGGCGGTGGGCGGCCAGTTTGGAGGGGAATGAAAAAGCCTTGGGGCAGTGCGGGCATGGATAGGGGCGTGCGTCGGTGGCATGGTGCGTGTGGCGGTGGGCTGCAAGCTTGGAGGGGTAGCAGAAGGACTTGGGGCAGTCGGGGCACGGGTAGGGGCGGGCGGGTGCATGGGTCCAGAGGTGGGCTGCCAGCTTGGAGCGGTGGCCAAAGGCTTTGGGGCAGTGTGGACACGGGTGTGGGCGGGCGCCACTGTGTGTGAGGCGGTGGGCTGCCAGCTTGGAGGGATAGGAGAAGGCCTTGGGGCAGTCAGGACACGGATGAGGCCGGGCGCCACCGTGTGCCAGCCGGTGCGTGGCCAGCTTGGACGGGTAGGAGAAGGCCTTGTCACAGTCAGGGCAGCGGTGTGGGCGCTGGGGTGGGGGCCGCCGACGGGGTCGGGAAGGCACCCCCACGGACGAGGCAGGCCCTGGAACCGACTGGCTGGGCTTCTGCGTTGAGCCCTGGGGGGGAGCTACAGGACAGGAGGGCTGGTGGGCTCCAGGCATCAGCCAACACCCTGAATCTAGGCCAGGCTTCCCTTCCCTCAGCCAACCTCAGATGTCATCTGGGATTCCTCAAATGACAAGTCTCTATTCCCCACCTTCTGCCATGCATCATCGTAAGGAGCTCCGAAGGGTTACCTGGCTGGAACCCCAAAGCAACTACTGGGGTGTCCGTTTCTAGTATATTCCCAAGTGAAAACCCTGAAATTCCGCATATCAAACCCTCTGATGCTTAATTTTCTGAGCCCTAAAAATCACTGAAGTTCCCCAAAGCCAATAGTAGGATTCCCCAGAACACATTTGTGGAATATCCCAAATGGTCATCACCCTAGGCCTTCAAACTTTCGCCGAGAGAGTCCCTCAAAATATGATTTTCTTAGCCCCAGTTCCTGTAGAAGACCCCCCTACCCACAGGCGGGACCGCTCTCACCTTCTCCCTTGGTTACTGGTTCCTTGCCAGTGGGACTAGGATCGGTGTCCCCGGCGGCGGACTCTGCATCTCGTTCCAGCATCTTGCTGGTCCGGGAACCCAGAGAGAGGTAGGCAATGCGGGTGATTACCAGGCTGATGGGGATAGGGCTGTAGAACTAAAATCAGGCACCAGTCCGTTTTGGAGGAAGGTTTTTTTAAGCCTAGGATCCGGGAGCGGGGGCGGGGGCCATGCGAACGCTGAGCCTAAGAGCACAATGGGCGGGGTTTATGCAAACCTGACCCTCTGCGCCTTGCACCCGGCGCTGGAGCCCTCAAGCGGGGTGGCGGGGACTCTAGTACTTAAACTCGGGGGCAGCCCTGAGCGCGGAGCTGGCTAGGCCTCTAGAATGTACGGGACCTACCCCACCAGAACCTCCCAGCCGGAAGCGAACCCGGGAATGGGCGAGGCTATATAGACAGGTCCCAAAGCAACTCATACCCAAGGTAGGGGCCTTCGAGCGGAGAGGACGGGTCTTTTAGAACTCTGTCACAGGGGAGGAGCCTGAGCGGAGTGGGCGGGATTTCACCTCCCAATGGGTAGCTTTACCCGAGTCTTGGTTTAGTCTCAGTCCATCGACGCCGCGTGAACTGCTTCCTTCTCGTTGCTAAATTTCATTCCCAGCGTGGAGGGTAGAGGGGAAACCTAGAGGGAGATGCAGAAAGAACGTGGCGTGTCTTGGTGATCCAGAGAGCTCTAATGGATTTTTCCCTTGGGGTTCCAAGCGTCCGGGCCTCAATGCACGCCTCGGAATCATGGCATTCGGGCACCAATGCACCCAACCAAGGCTCAGGCACCAATGCAGCCCCTCCGGAACCTATGCATCAGGACGCCAATCGATTCCTCTCAAGGAGATCCTGGCGTCCATCCCCCAATCCACTTCCCGAACACCCAGGCGTCCGGGCCGGGACCCGTGCCCGCCTCACCTGCAGAAGGCCCCTCCCCGGGGGCGGGGCTCTAGGCCCCTCCCGCCGGGGCCGCCCCAGCTGCAGCGGTGCCCTCGGACGTGGCAAAGCTGCACCGCCGGCCGCATGCCTAGCGACGGGAGGGGAGGGAGCGCGCGTGAGCTGCTCGGCTCAGCCTCATTCCCATCCCCTCCTCCCACGCGAGGCCGGTGTGGGGCGTCAGTACGCATGCGCAGTCGCAGCCAGCGGAGGCTGCTGCGGGGGAGAAGAAATGGAAGGAGGGGTGGGTGCGCAAGGCAGGCAAGTTGGTGAGCAAGCGCGGAGCTACCGATAGAAGGAAGGGTCGTAAGAAAGTACACTGCGGGTTGCGGGGCCTACGGTGGCTGACTGGAGTCAAGCACGTGCAGGACCTAACTGGGGGAAACTGAGCTTAGAGATCAGAGACAGTGCCCAACATATGCGCCTTCCTTTCCTATACACCCTCCCTTTCGAGAATCCCGTCGGCAGCTTGAGTTCCCTCTCCAGAGGGAGTTTGGAGAGCCGGCTGCCCATTTCACTCCTCAAAGCGTTTGCAAAGAAGTCAGGCCAGTTCGTGAGTGGGCGGGGCAGAACGCCAGGCTTAGAGCAAGCTGACGCCCAATGAAAAACATATTATTTGCATAGCGCCCCGGCATCGTTCGTCATTGGGTGATTCAAGAATCTCAGCCCCTCCCACCCCGATGCCGCGGTTCTGGTGTTAGTGTGGGGATGGGGGCGGCGGTTCCCGAAGCATCACTGCGGGAGTTCTTGGGAGGACTGGAGCTCCTGGAGCCAGGCCCAGGGTGGCACGCTTGGCACCTTTCCCTGGGCCGTGATGGTGCACTTTTCCGCCTACCACGGGAGTGACCGTGAAGTGCTCATTAAAATGCCCTGCATGGGTGAGTCTTCAGTCTGATAACCCACAAGGTCTGGCGAGTCCTGGGAGCTGTTGGAGTTAGACGGTGGGGTTATTCGAGCTTTGGAGCCAGATTGCCTGAGTAACTGGTTGGCTCCGCCAGTTTCTAGCTGTGTAATCTTGGCCAAGTCTCTCCACCTTTCTGGGTTCTTAGGACGAAATTCAATAATCAATGGAAAGTTTAGAACGGTGCCTACAGTGGTCAGTACATGTTACCAGTATTACCTGTTGTTTTTATTGTGCATTGAACTAGGCCATGATGGGATCAAGGTCGTTCCAGAACAGCAAGTGCAGAGAGCTCAAGGTGGGAAAGAGCATGCTGTGTTCGGAGGATCTTTCCTACCTCGATGTTCCAAACTTACCTTACTTCCAGTGCTGGTATACCCATGGTCCATCCTACCCCAGGGCCTTTGCACTAGTGGCTCCCTCTGTCCCCCCAAGGTCATTTCTCCATCACATTGGTTGTCTGACCCCCCTGCCTGATCTTGTTTCAAATATTTGGCATTGTAGAAGGCCTCCCCTGTCCACCCTAGCTCATGGAGCCCCCTTTCCCTCCACTACTCTGTTGTCACATCTCCTTCCCTACATAACACAGCATACCTGTCCTCTATACTATATGCTCTGTTAAGATGAACAACCTATCTTGTTTATCACTCTGTCCAGAACAGAGCTTAGCACATAGGAGGTGTCCAATAACTCTGTATCAAAGAAATGCTGGAAAGCATTAACAGCCATAAACTCTCTGTGATGGGAAGATAGAATGATGGGGACAATGGAGAACTTGAGGTCAAGGAGTTAGAAAGAGGCCTAGATGAATGGGAAACCAAGGGTTTTAAATATGGGAAGTGACATGAATGAGTTTAACTTTTCATATACTCTTTTTTAAAAACTTTTTATTAGGTTATGGAAAATTTCAAACATAACCAAAAGGAAGAGGAAGAGTATAATCAGCCCATCACCAGCCCATCACCCAGGTTCATCATGACAAATCTTATTTCATCGTCCCCTTGCCCCTTAAGGTCCTTGAAGCAAATTCCACACATTTCATCCAGAAACACTTCAGTGTGTGTCTCTAAAAAATAAGGACTTTCTTTCTATCTTTAAACACAACCCAAAGTATCATTACCAAACTTTCAAACTTTAGAGTCATTTCTTTACATTATCACATTTCTCCCCTGGCCCCCTGTATATCTTGTGTGTGTGCTTTTTTTTTTTTTTCCTTTCCAGAACAATGTTCTCTTTCAAACATACAGAAAGTGTGAGAAAACAGAATTGTTCTCTGCGTTAATAATACCAATGGCGCCAGCATCAACAATTTTCTACTGATGGCCCATGTTGTTTCATTTCTCCCACCCACTCCTCCCAGATTATTGTGAAGCTATATGTGACATCATATCCCATAAGTATCTTTTTATTACACTAGGTGTGTCTGCATTGGGATCTAAACAAGATCCACACTCTGTGTGTGTTTTCTGTGATTCTTCAGTCTCTTTGTCATTGACATTTTAAAAGGTTCGCTCTGGTTGCTGCATAAAATAGATTGTAGGGAGGCAGAGCAGAAGCCACAAGCCCAGTGAGGTGGCTGTTATATATTAATTACGCTATTAATTACGAGCATTTATTTGGCACTTTTTATATTCCTGAAACTGTCTTGGGCACTTTGTATACATTCTTTCATTTCATCCTGGCAGTGGCTTTTTAAGAGGAGGCGCTCCCACTCCCCACCCCACCCACCCACACACACAAGAAGGGAAAATGAGGCACAAGGTGGGGGTCACACAGCCTGGAGGAAGCAGGGTCGGAATTTGAACTCTAACAGCCAGGCCCTGGAATCCATGCAATTTCCATGTATTTTTTGCTGCCTCTTGACTGGGGCTGTGGGCATGATGGCGAAGTGGCCTGACCAGAGAGGTTAATGTAACAGGGCCTAGTGATGAAGGGGGAGGAGGTGGCAGAGGAGGAAGGAGTCAAGGAGGGTGAGGAGAGCATGATAGCAGGCTCCTATTGAGAGCTTGTTCTGTGCTGCGTGCTCTCTCAGACTCTTTACATGTCTGAACTTACTAGATCTTCCCAGTGAGGGAGGAGCTATTGTCAACCTCATTTTGCAGAGGAGGAAACTGAGGCCCAGAAAGAGGATAAGTGTTGAGCCCAAGGTCACAGAGCTGGGAAGGGCGATGCACAGGCTTCTACCTCTTAGGAAATCTCACAGCTGACCGAGAAGGTGTGCATACCTTCAAGGGTCTAGCAGTCCTGCCAAAACAATAGGAATGGGCCCCAGGAGTGAGGAGGTTTTTTGGGAGGGGACCCTCACAGCAAAGAGGGTCTGAGGATCCTTGTTTTCCTGTTTCCTTCCTCCCCTGAGCTCCTGGCAATCCCCGAACCTTCCTTTATTTCAGCCCCAGTGTCTGTGCCATTCTCCCCCACCAAACTGGACAGGACTCACCTCTGGGTCTCCAGATTTGCCCAGCTTGGGCCAGGCACACGGGAGCCCTCAAGTGAGAAATCAATGAGCAATATTCTCTCCTTGACTTGGAACTTTCCTTCTGCCTGTTTCTCTCCTCTCTGAGAGATTCTCTCCCCCTTTCTGCTCATTTCTCCTTGCTCTAATGTCCCAACATCTCTTCCTATCTTTCATAATCGTCTAGAATTTCAAGTGTATCTTTCTGACCATATTTCTTTGATGGACAACCCATTCCAACTCTATATCTCTTCATGAATCTCTGAAAGTCTTTCCAGGTCTCTCTTCTTGGTATCTCGGAGTCCAAGTCTCTCAGCATCTCCTTTATCTCTGAGGGGCTCTCTGGTTCTCTCTCCTGATAAAAACCACTAAGAATACATTAGGAGTCCCGCTATCAAGTGTATTGGGGCTTCTTGTTGGGGTTTTATTTCTCTCCCTGTCTGTGGCGCTCCCAGCGTCTCTCCCTCGCCTTTTGAGCCTTTTGAGTATCTCCCTGTTAGTCGCTTCTCCCGGTCTCGCTGTCTACGCGGTCTCTGTATTCTCCCCCCCCACAGACAGCCCTGAGCCCCCAGAGCCCGTGGCTCCTTTAAGGCGGGCCCCGCCCTCGCCCCGCCCCCGCCCCGCCCCGCCGCTCCCAGGTCAGATAGGGAGCACCCGGCTTCCGCCAGTGCCTGGCGTCCACTCAGTCCCCACCAGGCCGCGGGCACGATGGCGGGGGCCACACTGAGGGTCGCCGGGCGGCGGCTTAGCCAGCGCAGCGGCTCTGGAGTCCCCATCCTCCTACGGCAGGTGCGAGGAGGCTGGGCCCGCAGCGGGAGTACGGGGCGCTGGACGGTGTCAGGGGCGGGACTCCGGCGTCCTTTAAAGCCGAGAGTTGGGGGATCCCGTGGGGTTCGGGCAGGACTCCCGAGTCCTTTACGGGAGAGGTTAATGGTGAGCCTGATTTGGGGGGTATTTGGAAGTTGGGATTCATTGTTTCAGACGGAACAGACTCCGGACACCGAGGGGAAAGGAGGGGCTGGGTTTTGTGTTCCTGGATCTTAGGAAAAGCATCGGGTGGAGGCTCGGACTCTTGAGTCCCCCGTGTGTGGGAGTCTCGTTCTTCGCTCTCACCTGTCCCACTCCCCATTTCCAGATGTTTGAGCCCAAGAGCTGCACCTACACCTACCTGCTGGGTGACAGAGAGTCCCACGAGGCCGTTCTGATCGACCCGGTTCTGGAGACGGCACCTCGGGATGCCCAGCTGATCAAGGAATTGGGGCTGCGGCTGCTGTATGCTGGTCAGTCTGGAGGCCGAACCCCTGGGTCTGAGGGAGGAGGGGGCTGGGGGCTGGGAGTCCGGCGTCCTCTCTGAGCCCTTCTGGACCAGGCCCTCCTCTCTCTCCCAGTGAATACCCACTGCCACGCGGACCACATTACTGGCTCAGGGCTGCTCCGGTCCCTACTCCCCGGCTGCCAGTCTGTCATCTCCCGCCTTAGTGGGGCCCAGGCTGACTTGCACATTGAGGATGGAGACTCCATCCACTTCGGGCGCTTCGTGAGTTTGGATGCTGGGTCTGGAGAGGGTGGTGGCCTGGACTTCTTGGCCTCAAGGGAAGAGGGAGCTGAGGGCTTGGACTCCTGAGCCCCTGGGTAGGAGGGAACTCTGATCAGGGGCTCCTGATCCCTGAGTTTGTCTCTGGGAGGAGGGCGCTATAAACCCAGGTGTGGCACTGGGGCAAGAGGCTCTGGGCAGGTGTGTCTCCGGCCAAGCCCCTTAAGTCAACAGCATTTGCGGAGTTTCCTACAGCCTTGGGGCAACTCCTTTGGCTTGGCATCTCTATAAAAGCTGATTGAGGGCTAGAATTCTGAGGTTGGGGCTGAGAGAGAGATCCCAGCTCAGGCTTCTAGAGCCACTGTCAGAGGATGGAGCATCCTGTTGCCCGGGGCCAGGACTAGGGTGAGGCGAGCAAGGCACCCAGGGTGCAACATTTAAGGAGGCACTTACTCTCACAGTCACGGTCACGCAAGGGCAGGGTAGGCACCTTCCAGCCAGCGCCTCCTTAAATGTTCACCCTTCTGTGCCTGTTTGCCTCACCCTTGGTGGAGCTGTTGCCTCACACAGGAAGGGTCTGAAGTTTCCTACCTCCTCTCCCATCTTTGTCACAGGCCAAGGTCAGCAGGTTTCCAGCCAGGATTTCAACCCAGAGCAATAGATCGGAGTGGAGAGGGCGCTGGGGGGAGTTGCCCTCAGAGGGAGGAGAAATAGCTGACCAGGCTTTTCTCCGATCAGACTTGCTAAAGCTACAGAGAGAGTCGGGCTGACTTTGGGGACAGAATGGGCAAGTGACAGAGGGGGGACTTGACCTCCAGGTTAGAGGATTTTGCTAAATGGGGACAGTTTATCTGAGTCTGAGCATTTAGAGATGAGAGCTGTGTGTGTGTGTGTGTGTGTGTCGGGGGCGGGGGGGGGGGGAATCAGAGGGTGGAGCTCCCGTGGGGGCAGCCTCTTTATTTCTGGAAGCCCTTTTCTGGAAGGAGGTGAAAAAGTGCCTTGTAACTTTATGTACACTGTCCGTGAGTGTCAGGGGCTAGCAAGCATTCCTTGAGCTGAGCAGGCTTAGAAGGGTGAACAGTGGTTGAGGTTTCATGTCAAGATGAGCCCTTTGTGAGATTGGACGAGCGATGTTTTGAATGAATGTTGAAGGGTTTAGCTGTGGCAGATTTAGCTTCCGTGTCTGGTTTTTTTTCAAACGACTTAACTGATAGTCACAAACCATCCAGTTCATCCATTTGAAGTGTACAATTCAGCGACTTAGTATATTCAGAGCTGAATCACCATCACCACAGTTAACTGTAGAATAGCTTTGTCACTTCCGAAAGAAACCCCACGCTCCTTAGTTGTCACCCCGGCCCCCTCCCCTCTCACCCGACAACCACAAATCCACTTTCTATCTCTCTAGGAAACACCAATTCTGGGTGTTTCATAGAAACAGAATCATATATTGTGTCATCTTCTGTGACTGGCTTCTGTCATAAGTGTTCAAGGGTCATCTTTGTAACGGGTGTCAGTGTTTCATGCCTTCGTATGGCTGAGTAACTCTCCACTGTGTGAATATGCCTCGTTCATTCATTCATTCATCCACCAGCCGATAGACATTTCTGTTGCTTCCATTTTTTGGACTATTATGAATAATGCTGCTATAAATATTCATGCACAAGCTTTTCTGTGGCTGTTTTCATTTCTCTTGGATGTATCTATAGGATGGAATTGCTGGATCAAAATAATAAATAATAACTCTACGTTTAATAGTTTGAGGACCTCAGGAGCCTGGGTGGCTCAGTTGGTTCAGCATCCGACTCTTGATTTCAGCTCTGGTCTTGATCGCAGGGTCGTGAGTTCAAGCTCATGGTGGGTGTGGAGCCTACTTAAAAAAACGGGTGGGGGGCGGGTCCCTGGGTGGCTCAGTCGGTTAAGGGTCTGCCTTGGGCTCAGGGATCAAGTCCCACGTGGGGCTCCCTGCTCAGCGTGGAGTCTGTATCTTCCTCTGCCCATCCTCCTGCTCACGCTCTCTCTTTCTCTCTCTCAAATAAATAAATAAAATCTTAAAAAAAAATAGTTGAAGGAACTGACTGACTAATATCCAGAGTGGTCACACCATTTTATATTCCCATGGACAGCATATGAAAGGCCTAGTTTCCAGGCACCTGAGTGGCTCAGTCAGTTAAGCAGCTCTTGATTTAGGCTCCCCATGGGGCTCCATGGGGAGTATGCTTCCGCATTCTCTGTCCCTCTGCCCCTCCCCACTCCTCTGTCTCAAATAAATAAATAAGTCTTAAAAAAAAAAAAAAAAGAAAAAAGAAAAAGAGGAGCACCTGGGTGACTCAGTGGGTTAAAGCCTCTGTCTTTGGCTCAGGTCATGGTCCCGGGGTCCTGGGATCGAGCCCCACATCGGGCTCTCTGCTCAGCGGGGAGCCTGCTTCTGCCTGCCTCTCTGCCTACTTGTGATCTCTGTCAAGTAAATAAATAAAATCTTTTAAAAAAGAAAAAAAAAAGTCCCAGTTTCTCCACATCCTTGCCAACACTTGTTAGCATCTGTCTTTATGATTATTTGGTGTTTGGTGTGGTTTTCATCTGAGTTCTTTATAAACCTTTAGAGATGGTCACACTTCTCCCTCATTTTCTTCCCTCCACTTTAAAAGAATTGACTTGTAACATGCATGTCATACAGTAGAAAGTGTGCCTATTGTATGTGTGCAGCTTGTTAAATTTTTACATATGTTTACACTTGCATATCCATTGCCAAGATCCAGATACAGAGCAAACTCATCACTCCAGAAGGCCTCCTTGTCCCTCTTCCTGGCCATTGACAACAACACCCCCATCAAGAAACCAGCTGCCGACTTATTTATCCATTTAAAAATTTTTCTTTTTTCTTATGATAAGGACTTTGAAGATTTGCAATCTTAGTAACTTTCTTTCTTACGTTTTTTTTTTTTTTTTTAAGTAAGTCCCATCCCCAGTCCCCAACCCAAGACCCTGAGATCAAGAGTCACATGCTCTACTGACTGAGCCAGCCAGGGGCCCCTCTTCCGATTTATTTAATCCTAGATTAATTCCATGTGTTCTGGACCTCAGAAACAGGACTCGTACCATGTGGGCTCTTTGGTGTTCTGGCTTCTTTCACTCCTCCTCACGTTGTGTATGGTTGCAGTCTTTCCTTCTGTTGCTCTGTCCCAGGGATTGGCTAATACCTTCTGTAAAGGACCAGACAGTAAATACTTTCGCTTTTGCAGGCCATATATGATCCCTGTTGGCGTGAAAGCAGTCAGAGACAATGCATAAATGAATAAGCATGGCTGTGCTCTAGCAGAACTCGATTTCTGGCCTCTGCAATGTTAATTTCAAGAATTCTCGTGTGTTTTAAAATACCATTCTTATTTTGATTTTTTTTTTCAACCACGAAAAAGCATAAAAAAACCACTCATGGCTCTCGGACCATACAAAAGCAGATGACAGGCCAAATTTCATGTACCAGCCGTGGTTTCCCAAAATGTAGAGCATTTTATTGTGTGAATTTATGATAATTTACCCATTTTCCCTTTGATGGCTGATTCTGATTTGGGGCTGCTGTGAAGGCTGTTATGCAAATCTTTTGGTGGACATTGCTCTCGATTCCAAGGAATGGACTTCCTGGGTCAGAGGACTGACCTATGATTAACTTTAGTAGAACTTGCCACTTTTTTTTTTCAAGATTTTATTTATTTATTTGACAGAGAGAGACACAGTGAGAGAAGGAACACAAGTAGGGGGAGTGGGAGAGGGAGAAGCAGGCCTCCCACTGAGCAGGGAGCCCAATGCAGGACTCCAGCCCAGTCCCTGGGATCCTGACCTGAGCAGAAGGCAGATGCTCAATGACTGAGCCACCTAAGTGCCCCAAACTTGCTACTTTTTGAGCTGGTTATATTTTATACTCACAGTGGGCCAGATATGGATGATTTCATTGTACAATGAATTTTCTGTTTTACTGAGCAATGAGATTTGAACATTTGAGCTCCAATGAGGGGTGGCAGATTCAGAAAGTTAGTCTTGCCTGTTAAGTACGTTAATTTAGAGCGCTGCCAGATACGGAGCCCCCAGATCCCACTTTAGGGATTCTGATTTCATTGTTTGGGGAAGACACAGGGGATGAGTCTCTTTTAAAAGCTCGCAGGTTGGTGCCTGGCTAGCTCAGTCAGTGGAGCATGAGACTCTTGAACTTGAGGTTGTAAGTTTGAGCCCCACCTTGGGTGTAAAGATGACTTAAAAATAAATAAAATCTTAAATAAAGTAAAATAAAAGCTTATAGGTGATTCTCATGTGGTCTGGGTGAGAATTTCACTACTTCCTTCCATTTGGAACTAATTATTATTTTTTAATTAATTTGTTAGAGAGAGAGAGAGAGAGAGAGAGAGAGTATAAGCAGGGTGTGCAGAGAGAGAGGGAGAAGCAGGCTCCCTGCTGAACAAGGAGCCAGATGCAGGGCTCGATTCTGGGACCATGACCTGAGCTGAAGGCAGATGCGTAACCGACTGAGCCACCCAGGTGTCCCAGGAACTAATTATTTTTTAAAAGATTTATTTATTAATTTATTTATTAGAGAGAGAGAGGAAGAGCAAGCAGGGGGAAGGGATTTAGGAGAGAGAGACAAGCAAATTCCTGAGATCATGACCTGAGCAGAAAGCAAGGGTCTGTTGCTTAACGGACTGAGCCCCCCAGGTGCCCCTGGAACTAATTATTTGGATTGTGGAACAGATTTTCCCCTCTTGCAACATTTTACAAAAAGTGACAAGCCTACAGAAAAGTTGAAAAGATTTGACAGCATCCATCCATCTTATTTTTTTATGCATCTTCAAGTTAGAGACATCAGTGCACTGTCCCTTAAACGTTAGAACAACTAATGTCATTTTCTTTCACGAAAGAAAGGAAGGTTTAGTTAATAGAGGTTCAGACTATTTAGCCGCAATGGAAAAAGACACTCTGAGTTTAGAAGTGCATAGGTACAGTGGCTGGTTATA